CGGACTCCTCAGTTCTCACTCCGAGGTTCTTCACAACCGTCGAGGAGAACGCTGCAGTCCCAGGACAGATGCCACAGGGGCAGCGGCAGCGCCCGTGACCCTGGGGGAGGGTCAGAGGAGAAACCTCCCTTCTCATAGTTTCTCTTTACGAGCCCGACTGAGACTTTGAAAACAGTGTATTTTAAAGGTTTACTTGTTACCGATGACGCTGAGCAGCCGCAGGGAGTTCCCGAGGTCCTGAAGCTTTGTGGTTATCTCTCTTGGCCTTGTGAACTGCAGGGGTTTCAATTTTCGATCCTCATTTATAGTGATACATTTTACATCTCTACCTAGTGTCTTTTTACAATATAATTGTATCTATCTATCTATACATGCATATATATATGCATATATATATATGCATGTGTGTGTGTGTATATATATACATATATATATAATTAAATGAAAGAATATGTATACAATATAATTGTATCTATATATATGCATATATATATGCATGTGTGTGTGTGTGTGTATGTATATATATATATATAAAATTAAATGAAAGAATACCTACCCTCTGTGGTTCCCTCGTTATGCTATTTCCAATCCATTCTTTAGATTAAAATAATAATTTTTAGATTGACCAGTCCTCACCCATGAAAGTGGTTTCAGAAAGCTATATATACCACAGACTCCAGAATCACATGCCTCAATCAGCGCCATCTTTCCTGCTATAGTGGTATATTAACCCAGGACTACTCGCTTACGTAGTCCGAGGGCCCCAGATTTGTGCAATGAAGCAGGAAGACGTTTAAGCACTTTCCCTTACCCATCCTGTCGTCTGCATCTATGCAGGCTACAGCCCCTCCCAACTTCCCTCCTGCGCCCCACACCTCCATCCCAAGCACAAGTACCAACTCGCCAGTGTTCAATCTCCCCCAGGGCTCTCTCACATTTTGTTGTTAAGATTTTGCTCTTGATTTGCCCCCTGCTTCATTCTACAGTTTCCCAGGTTTGATTTGAGGACCAGACTTTGGTTGTCATCTTGGTAGTTATAGGTAAGGTAGTAAATCTATAAATCATTTCAGCAGAATTGACATATTTACAATATTCTGGTTCCCATCAATGACTATGATATACTGCTCCATTTATTTGGGAATTCTTTTACCTGCATCTATCAGTAAACTTGTATAGTTTATTTGTATAATTATATATACAAATATATAAAACTATATAACCATATGTATATGATATACATATATATGCTATTCTAGATATGATATATATTTGTATAACATACATTATTATTTATACAGTAGTTACACAGATCTCGTCCATTTTTGTTAGGCTTCTTCATAGGTAATTTTGGATTTTGTTGCTGAGCTGAATGGGGTATTTTTTATTACATGTTCTGTTGAGTTACCGATTAGTGGCAGAGCTCTTTATTTTGCTGTAGTGATCTTTCACAGACTCTCTTAAGTCTCATTCATTTGAATATCCTAAGTTCCTATACCTTTGAATTTTCAAAATAGATGATCAGATTGTCACCAAATACGGTCTTTATTTTTAATATACATGCATCTTATTTATGTGACATCCACGGCTCTGGCTTTGTGTTTCAGTACAGTTATGAATGGTAGAGGTAATAATATACATCTAAGTGTAGTTTCTGATTTTAATGGGGCTACTTCTAACATTTCACATTTAAGTATGTTTACTGTCTATTTAAGGAAATGGAAGTTCCTCTAATCTTAGTTTGCTAAGACTTTTTACTATGAACTCGTCTTGAATTTCTTTAAAAGACTTTTTCCTTACTCATTCGCATGATCAAATGTGTTTTATTTCCTCGAATTTGTTAACGTTGGAAATTACAATTGAGAGTAATTTCTAACGTTAAGTCATATTTTCATTCCTCAGACACAGACTGTTCATTTAATTCACTGCTTTGTTGAATATGCTAGTAATCAAATATGCTACAAACAAATCTGAGTGGCATCCACAATATACCTCATCAGTACTCCTCAAAACTGTCAAGTCGAGGTCACCAAAGATTAGAAATGCTTGCAAAACTGTCACAGCCAAGAGTATACTAAGGAGGCATGATGAATAAATATAATGTGGGATCCTATATGGGATCCTGAAACAGAAAAGGGACATTAGATAAAAACTAAGGAGATCTGAATAAAGTGTAGATTTTTGTTAATAATATTGTAACAATATTAGTTCAGTAGTTATGACGAAAGTACCATACAATGACGTTATCAATAGAGGAACTGAGTAAGGAGTATATAGGAACTCTTGAAACTATGTTTGCATGTTTTTGTAACTCTAAAACTATTCTAGAATAAAAGTTTATTAAAAAATTAAAAAAAGGGAAATGTAACCAACTAGATAAAGGACGTATATGAAAAACTTACAGAAAACATCGTACTTAGATGAGGAAAAGTTGAAAGCTTTTCATTTGAAATTGGGAACTAGACAAATATACCTATCGCCGATTCTAGTCAATATTTCGATAGAAATACTAGCCAGTAATGAGAGGCAGAAAAATAAAAGAGTTAGAGATCAGAAGACAAGAAACAAAGTTACCATGATTAATAGATGATTAGACTACGTGTGAAGAAAGTTTAGAAGAACTAAAGTTAAATTATTCAATCAATAAAAGTGTATGTAAAGGTTGCTGGGTTTAACAACAATATACAAAAAATAAACTTTTGTTTCAACAGCAACAAGCAGTATAAACATGAAAGTAAACAAAGTGTAATCTGTAACCTATCATACTAAAATATCAAGTACCAAGAACAATTCTAGACAAAGTACATTTAAGAACTTTATGGAACAAATGTAAAAAATGCTATTTAGGTAAATTAATGAAGATCTACATAAATATAAAGTATAATATGATCATGGATGTAAAGATTCAATATTGTAAACATGTCACTTCTCCCTAAAATTAATCTATAGATTGACTACAATCCCAATAAAAAGCCCAAAAGGCTTTGCGGGTGAATATATTTATGTCCATTTCTGTATGAAACATGACGATGATTCTAAAATTTAAATGAACATAAATTAGGCCAAACACTCTTGAGATATCAGAAGACAAAGTGAGTTACACTACTAGGTAAGAATGGTTAAAATGCTATAGTACTTAAGTTTGTGGTATGGATATAGGAGTTAACAAATAGGCCAATGGAACTGAATAGAGCCCTGAAGCAGACATCCTTGTATATGAACCCTTGATTTATGACAGGTGCAATTGACACAACTGGAGATCGATATAGAAAACATAATGCAACTGGAACCCTCTTGTCGCTATAAAAAAAATCAACCACAGAGGGATTAAAGACCTACTTTTAAAATCGTTATTATACAAATGTTCGACCATACATATCAGTATACAGAATAGTACAGTGAGCTTTCACATATTCTATCATCTAGAGAACCAGCAATCTGGGTCAAGTAGGGCATGGATAACGCTGGCGGGAGAATGACTGAAAGAGGCTGGGGACATTGGTCAGATCAATAACAAAACGGATGAAGATGATATGCGTTGGGGAGGATAGGAAATGACAGCTCCTTCTGCCCCCCTGTCTCTAACATTGATGGCCTTGCCGCTTTCGTGGGCCTTTGCTTTCAAAGAGCAGTATCTGGTACTTAGCAATGGCTTGGGAGAAAGCTACCTGGGCCAATGATCTGTTCATTTGATCTCCCACTGCACCAGTCTTTCTGTTGACCTCTGAAGCTCTGGAAAGTGTGTCTTACATCCTCATAGATGTATGACTGACAGCGTGATTCCAGAGACTCACGACAAGGGCATGTTTTGCTCCAGTGAAGGTGTCCTGCAGATCCTGCTGTCTTGCAGAAAACCCTTTCTGTAGACCACCCACCCCCTTCCTGAGGCTTAAGTTACTTAATGGAGCAGTGGAGGAGGTCTCTCTCCTTCCTCAGATCAGGGGTACTTCAAATGGTGAGGAGCACGGTGGTCAAGATGCTTCCAGAGATGGCGGCGGAAGGCTTTCCCCTCTAGCACATGAACCACCACCAGTCTGGGTAGAATGTGTCATGGAAGTGACTTAATGAAGTCCCTCCACCATCAAAATGGGATTTGAAGCTCCTAATTGAAAAGATATCAGGCCGGCCGTCTCATTCTCTGAATGAGAATGGGGTCTCCCATAAATAGGGCTACGAGTTCATTGGCTGAGGAGGCCTTACACAAGGAAAGAGTCCATTTTCGTCCTCTCAGCCACCCATGGGGAGTTGCTAGCTCAGAACTGGGCCCACCCCTATCTCTGCTCCACACACTTCCTTTCAGCTGCCCTCACTCTTGACAGGACTCTCAGAATTCAGAAACCCTGAGATTCCAAAAGAAGTTTACTTGTAGTTTTGTTAGAGATTTCACTGAAGACTTGGGGCATCTCCAGGTCCACTTTGCCCACGACCAATTCAGCTATGGCGGGGTTTGCTTTCTTCCTCAGTTTTGGTTTTAGTATCTCAAATGCAGTTAGCCTCTCTTCGTAACCGGAATTGGCTATAAATCCTCGGTGGTAAAGGTGGAAAGCTCAGATAAGAAAAGTCTTCTCCCAAACCTGGACACAGCTAGGGACTGGGATTCAGCTCTTGGCCTCCATAACCTCTGGGATTTTGGTAGTGCAGCCATTTGAAATAGCAAAAGGTTGTCTTTCCTTTTTGGGGGAGAAGGGCTGAGAGGAATGATTGCTCACCTTAAGCTCCTTCTGGACATTGCACCCACACCCACCCATCGTGAAGGTGTGACCTTCAGCCAGTGCAACTTCCCCAAATGGGAGTGGCGGTGATTGGCCCAGAGGGGCTGGAAGGACAAATTGGAATCCTGTCTCCAGAGAGAGTGCAACTTCCTCCAGAGACCAGAAAGCCCTCCTTCGAGAATGGCAGACACACCACATAGAAGTGACACCATATGGTATTTGTCTATCTGACTTATTTCATTCAGCATAATACCCTCTAGGTCCATCTATGTTGTTGCAAATGGCAAGATTTCATTCTTTTTTATGGCTGAGTAATATTCCACTGTAGATAGTACCACCTCTTCTTTATCCAGTCATCTATTGATGGACACTCAGGTTGCTTCCATATCTCGGCTATGGTAACCAGCGTTGCATGAACAAACAAAACAGAAACAGACTCATAAATACAGAGAACAAACTGATGGTTGCAGGATGGGAGAGGGGTTAGAGGGCTGGGTGAAAATGATGAAGGGATTAAGAAGTACAAGTTGGCAGTTACAAAATAGTCATGGCGATGTAAACTACAGTATAGGGAATATAGTCAATAATACTGTAATAACTACATATGGTGCCAGGTGGGTGCAAGACTAATCAGGGGGATCACTCTAAATTTTATAAATGTCTAACCACTATGCCGTACACCTGAAACTAATATAAAATAATATCGATAAAATAATATTGAAATAATAAAATAATATTGAAAGTCACTGTCATTGATGAATGACGGCATTTTGGAATTTTCATGTATGTTGCTGACTTGTGTGTCAAAGTTAAAGACGAGAAGACTGCAACGAAAGGAGCACACGACTTTCTCTGAGTGGGGAGAGGAGAAAGCAATGTCCTTGCAAAGATCAAGGGAAACTCCCAACGGTCCTCGTTACTACGACTTAGAGGCGTGCGGTTAACCTCCCCAGGTACGTGGCAAACTTAACGCCCTGGCTCCTTATAGCTGGGTCGCTCTCTAAGTTCTAGCTGATGAGTCGTGAGTGTGAGTGATGTGCGTCCTTTCTGACTGCAATGTTTAATCACTGGTGTGAGACACCCGCTCACTTTCCCTTGCCCCTGCTACGAAGATTGGAGAAGCACGTGTCGATGAAGCTTCTGTCAGATTGGGCCTGAATGGCTACAATAAGCAGAAGTTTCCTGATGACTTGTACTGGACACACGGCGTGAGAAGTAACTAAATACGTTTTGGGGTTAAGTCACTGGGATTTTGAGGTCGTCACCACAGCAGCGCCTATTTAACCTCTCCTGACTGATTATCCTGTAACGAATTGGGCATTACATGGTCAGCCATTGTCCGGTGAGGTGATGGGGCAGAGTCCTTTCTACTCAGGTGGGGGGATCTCACTTCCTGAAGTCCTGGCCCACATCAAACCACAAACACAGTCACAGAAAAGCGTCTCTGATTAGGTACGAAATTGTATGTAAAGGAGGTAGACCAACATTAGCGACCAAGGCACAGACGCATCTTTCTATCGCTAGTGTTGGTCAGATCTCCGGCAAGAGAACCTTCTGTAGGGGGCAGAGTTGCTTACCAGCTGCAGCCGTGTTTGCCATGAGGCCACACTCCCCCCCAGCCTGCTCCCATCCAATGATTCAGTGCAGTAGAGATAATAACGCTGGCCCGTTCCAGCCTGAGCAGGACCAGAAAGCTCAAATAATTACATGAGCAGCTAGCTCAGACCTCTATAGCACCCTCTATGGTAGTAGTGGTGCCTCCTTTCCGGCTGTGACCATATGGCGTTTCTTTAGGCCCTGGCTGGTTTAAGCGTGGGCTGGTTTAGTGTGTGGGTACAAGGCGAACATGGATGGCACTTAGGGGTGGTTTTGAAACTGCGTGGGGAGGGGAAATCTTCCTGATGGGCGGAGCTTGGAGCGGCACACCAGGCCTGGGGTGAAAAATGGGCTGGCTAGTTGGTCAGGGGCTGGGAAAAGAGACGACTGGAGGAAGTCCCCAAATGAACAGGGTCTCACCCAAGGGCACACGGAATATTCTAGACAGAAGTGGGGGCTGGGGTCCAGAAAATTTTTAACCTCGGTTCCTCCACGTGATATAGAATGGAGCCTTTTTAAGAAGCTGGTTTGTAATTGGAACTGAGAAATCTAGAATTGGGGATGCAGAACTATGTTCCGTTGCAGCAAGTCTTAGCCCGGCCATTGGAAGTTTCTGTTTTATTTCTGGCACTTGTTCGGCGTGCAGTCCCTGAGCTGCTTCCAGACCACTGGACAGAAACTCGTTTGAGACTCACGACGAATAGATCCTTATCCCCTATTGCTTTTAAACATATCAGTAAATATAAGAAAATGTACTTAAGGTTCCTAAAAAATAAAACCTGCTTCAGTCCTGTATACCCTCTTAATTCCCTTGAGATTCTGATCAGAAGAGCTTGGGAGAGACCGGGACTGGGTAAGCGGCGCTGTGACAGTACCAAGGGGCCCCTGGGAGGCCCTCCCAGGGCTGGGAGGAAGCTAGCCAGTGTGGGAGCCTGGGAAGACACCTTGCTGGTAGCCTGGAGAGGCTGTGGCGAAGGGTCTTTCACCCCGAGAGCTAGGGAAGCTATAAAGGGGAAAGGAAACCATGTCCCCTTCTCTCAACCTATACCTTAGGGAACATATGCAATCGGTGGGCAGCAAGTGACAATCAGACCGTTCGAGGACCACAAGCTCCACCTGGGGTCACGGGCCACCTTCAGATTTGCTGACTTGACACCAAGAACTTAGCCAGTAGAACTCAGTGGCTAATAGCAGGCTCCAGGTGTACCGTGAAAACTTTGCAGACACCCCCTGCCCCT